GAAAGAGTTGGGGGGAAGCAGAGAGCAAGGCTACCTGAACCCCTAGATTTATTTTCCCTGCTGTGGGAAACGGACAAATTCAAGGCAGGTTCATCTTCTATTTGAGTAAACATGATATTGAGGATTGGCTGGTTTTACTATTTTTTAAAGAAACAGTGAAAAGAATAGAAGATAGGATGATTTCTTTGGGTTGGTTCCCCCGCCACCCTCCCCCAGTAGTTTAATCATAGAAAACAGCTGAGATGCTTTGCAATCTTCTAATAATGTCCCATTAGCCAGAAATACACTCTTTGTTAACATAACACTTACTAAGAAAATGAGAGTACACCAATGCAATTAGCATTTAACAATAACCCTCAACATACAAGAGGTATTATAACTCAACTATACACAGTACAACTTTTGCCATTGTCCCCCTCTCTATCTTGCACGGTGAAATTGCATGCAAGAGCATTTCCATGACAAAAATGTGCCCTCTAGCCTTCTTTCATTCCTGCCTAATCAGTCACACAGCCTCACTCAGGCAGATTACACAAAGCTCTTGAGCCAGAGACAATATCTTTTTACTACTAGAGCAACTAAATGGCAGCAAAAAAATCTTTTTTGCAAACTTTTGGGTACATACACCCTTCTTCAGGCTGAGGAGAATTCAAAGATTGTAAAAGTCCTCCTAGGTAGAAAAGAAATTCCATTCTGCACCAGGAATGTAGAGGGTGGAAGTTTTCAGGCAGACTATGCACTCCTGGGGACCCCCACTGACATCAGTGCAGGGGCTGCCCACACCACAGAATCAGGGCCCTACACATTGCCTACGTATAGCCCTCCCACTCAAGCCCAAGCCAAGCTGTCCCTACCACAGGCTAAAAAAAGACCCTTGTTCTTTCTGTTTGATTACTGAGAAGCATTCAACCATTACACAGAGAAGGATCATATTTATTAATTTCTGTATCTCCAACTCTGGGCACCAAAGAAAAAAATGTATACAAGTGGCAAGGACCCTCAATGAGAGTACTTAAAACGAGGAGATTCAAAGCGATTATCTCTGGGTTATTTTTCTGTGCCTTTCAGGATCATATTTTCCTGCACAACCAGGGGTACCAGAGACTTTAGTTTGTTTTTAAACATGTAAATTAAAATCCTCAGAAAATAAAGTGACCCCAGGGCTGGGATTGTAAAAAGAATCTAGATCAAACATTGCAAGACTGACAATGCCATTAAACTGGTAACACCGTGATATAGTTGGACAAAGGATTGCACGCAGAGTCTTAGGGGAAGAGGGGGAAAATTGGACTCCAAAAGATTTGTTCATCTCAGCCATTCATGAGATCACTCTACACATAAAAGTATTTCCATACGACAACTTATAATTAATAAAGGCCACTGGAAATTTAAAACTGATTTTAATGTAGGTGACTTTCCCAAAATCCAAGCTGGCAGTGTTTTTCCCAAATGTCAACTCCTTTGTACAGTCAATTGAACCAAACAGTAATGTAGCAGAAAAACTCAGACACAAGCCAGCTGACACCATCTGAAGTAGATGCCAGGCTCTCCGTGCTTAGATAGAATGTAAAGCGGCAGCACAGCTTTTATGCACACGTTTACTTGCTGCCTGGTTCAGGAATGTTTAATTGGGTATAAACACGGTGTTGACATCCACCGTATGATTCATCTAGCAAGCAAACGGCTTTGCTTTAATATATGGTGCTTGAACAAGTAGACCACAGCGCAAAATAATTACAGCAGCACGGATGCAGTGGAAATGAATTTAAATGAACAGTGATTAATGCTGCGCAAATAATAACAGCATGTATGGCTCACAGCAGCTTGCATCTTCAAAGAGCTCTGCAAACCAGTCCTTTATATATGAGACATCACTTTCCCCAAACACAGACAGACAAGTCAGTTTGAAGATAAGATATCTGAAGATAATGCTACACTTGGATTTGGAAGCCCACCTTGTAGCAAGTGAAAAAACTGGATTACTCAGGGAGCACTCACCTGCTGCTCCAGCGTTCAGCATGTGCAGCTTGGGTCCAAGGTCAACTTTTGTAGGAAAGACGAGGCATGATATATGGAGAAAAAGACACAGTGGAAAGAAACCTTTTGTGGCTCAGAGGCAAACTGCACAACAGACAATGGGCGAAGGTCAAAGGACGTCATTCTCTAATAGCAAAGGTTCTCAAGCCAAGCCCCTCCTTTCAGCCACCAAGCTGTCATACATGTGACACTGACAAGCAACCCCAAACTTGACTTCCACACCCACCTCCCAGCTGCCCAGCCTTGCCTCCTTCCTCATGAACAGCTCCCTGTCAAGCCACACCTTCCCCATTAGGCCAAACTTTCCCCTCCCAAATGGCAGGAGTCATGCCATTTAGCATTTCTGTAACCCTTTCCAGGGAAAGGTTCCAGAGCAGAGTCTCTCGGCCCAACAGGGAAAATTTCTGATTCTAGGAACAAGCTCTCTAACTGAACAGGGACTAAAACAAGAAAATGTGTACAGAGATCATCTGGAAGCTTAAAGGCGAAAAAGAGCAATGATCCCATGTACCCAAAAGTCAACAATTAGATTCCAAGTATTTTAGAAACTGAACTCAGTATTACTTTGGTTAACAACCAAATCTGACTGGGTGCCAGAGACAAAGAGAACATTCTCATTTTGCAATAAACCTTAGGGAGGGCAAGAACTGTTACCAAGGGCCTTCCCTGGGTCCAAACAAACTAGCTTGCCCATTTATTATCTACCTTTGCAAAGTCTTATAAGTAGCAGTTAGGATCGAAATAGAAACTATACTGGGAGTAAGTTCACATAATTAATTCAGATACTGCAGGTGCATCTACACGAGATGTTTACTGCAGAGTAGACTGTTTAGCTCCCCAGTAAATGTTGTGCATCTACACGTGAGTTCCTATCATGCTGGAGTAAATTAATTAACTCCATAGCAAGGTAGTACTTGTATTTACAAGTACTTATACATACAAGTGCTAACCTGCTGTTGAGTTTTTTTACTCTGCGGTATGACACATGTAGAAGCTGCCCCGGCTGGCTGGGGCACGAGGGTGTGTCAGTGCAGGGGGCTGCCTGATTGCTAGCCCTGTGCTGGAGTGCCCTCATGCCCAAGCCAGCTTCTCTGCAGCACAATGAGCCGGGGTGGGGTGGGGATGGGGAAAGCAGCTGTGGGTTGGCAGACTGACCCCCCTGCACCTCGTACTAGCCGGAACTGCTCCGACCCGGCTCAATGTATTGCAGTCCCGAGCACACATTCAAACGGTACATGCAGGAGCAACAGGCTGCAGAGTTTATTGACTTGTGTCAGACAAGGTTCCTTGGGTGAATTTGATATATTTTATTAGACCAACCCAAATGGTTGGAGAATAGTTATTAAGCAAGCTTTCGGGTTCAAAAACCCTTCGTCAGGCTCAGGAAGCTGCAGCAGTTGACTTGTGTCATGCAGTTAGCACCCTAAGCCTTGGAAAAGTGCTGCTGGGATCCTTAGTGATTACAGGCCAAATGGGGCCTTGTTTAAACATTTAATCTGAAACATGACAGTGCTAGAGGCAGCATTTCAGTGTTATGCTAAATGTAGCTGATGGAACCTGTCCAGATTTCTCAGCTAATGCTTTCCAGCGTTTCACCACCTAGTCTAAAGATAAAGATGGACTTGAGTCTCTTTTGATAAAGCCGTTTTCAATCCAAGGCTTTTTTCTTTAAAAATTAAATAAAATAAATGTTTGTGGGGACTGTAAAAGTAGAAAAGAAAGAAAAAAAATCTATCCTTTTAATCACAGAAGCATGAACTCAAGTATGTACATTTAGGGAGAAGCAGACTTTGGTTGGTAATAACTTTTATTGGACATGCTATGTAGTTGGGACAAATACTGGACCACTTTTGGGCAAAAAATGCCCTTCCTCAGGTCTCTTTCTTATAAGAAAAAGATTCCATGAATTTTCTCTAAGGAAAAAGTCCATTCCACAGATTTCTGTCAGAGATGATCTAGTTACCTCAGTACAGGGAAGGGGACTGGATCATATCTGACAACCAATCATCCTTCCTCTCTCCATTTCCTGCTGGTAGCAAGGAGGTACCTTTTTTCCTCCAGATTGTGAGCTCCTCAGGAACAGTCTCTTAGCATACGTGCATGCATGCATTTAGAACAATGGAACGTATCTCTCTTTGGGACTTCTCAAGGTTATCTTAATATAAACATTATAAAATACTCAAAATCAAAAAAAGAAAAAGCTGAGAACAAGGGACGGAGAAAATGCATACAATTTTTAGAGTCCATGTGCAAAGCTTAGGCCTTAGGCTCTTGATGATGAAATGTCTTTAAGAGTTAATTTAAAGTTTGTCAGGGTACCTTAGAAATAAATCTGTTGGGACACATGAGTGATCAAACTATATTTTGTGGTTAGATATGACAGTGATGGATACTATATAAATATCATTAGTAATTAAGCAGGGAATTGGACTAAACCCTACTATTCTATAAACTTCATGTAGCAGTCAACTTGCTGCTACTTTTTTCTAATTCTTATTACCCTGAAATATAACATGCATTGAGTTTGGAAGCTGGGATCAGGTGCTGTTGAAGTTGTATTCATTGTAAAAACATTATCATCTCTCATCTGTGATGTTCAACAGAGGAACCAAGCTGACTTATCTTTTGTACAACAGTTCATAAAAGAAACCTGCCAGTAATTTGCACAGGAGACTCTCTTGTTTCAATTATTATAATCTCTTCCTTGTGAAGAAGGGAAGACCCATCCAAAACAATTCCATTTTTCAGCCTCTTTACTACTGTCATCTGCTAAACTATAAAACACAAGAGACTTCTTAATCACCTGAAATACCTACATTGGATTCCAAAAAGACAGTCAACACATACAGATTTCCAGTCCATTTTTTTCAGCTGAATCCATTCATGTAATTTGACCCAAAGTCAAAAATAGTTTTAGTGTCACTGAGCTTCCATTTTTAGTGAATTTACTATTATTGAAATAAATCTGTTCTGACTCTAATCACATGCATGTGAAATACATATCCATACACAGATGGATACACAATCTACAGAAACACTGTTCTACATAAATTGATGTATTATACATATATACAACTCCCAAATAGTAAATCCATAACTTTTCTAGCTTTGACTTAATCAAGCATTGTTTAATTCTAGCAGCCCTACATATCACACTGCGTTCAAGATTTCTTTTAAACCCCTTATTTTAGGCAGCTGACTCAGCAACAAAGATTAAAAAGCCACCCAGCCTTCTGCCTCAGTGCCAAGCCTTCCTAAAATTGGAGATTTTTTTTGCAGTAATGATAATAAAGTACCAACATAAATCCAACATAGATCAATTCAAATGTTGCTCTGCTCTCCAACAACAAAAATTACTAGAAAACCCCAAACAACATGCAGCTCATTCACATGCAACCATGTTTGTTTCATATCCTATTGTAATGTGTCCTACTAGACCTGCACATGCCTCCCAGTTCCCCAGAGCAGGGATCTCTTTATTTATCTGGCACACTTTACCAACTACAAGATATATTTATGGCACTATGGGAGGAATAAGCCTAATGTGGAACCTGGGGCAAAATTTTCGTTCAGATGCCAGGTGAATTTAATCCACAGTTCAGTCTAGATCAAAACAGTTTTAACTTTAAACACCATCTCAAATCTTTTGATAAAGTCTGCAGGAGTTGTGGATGTTTACTCAAATCACAGCGCTCAGCCATGTGGATTTATTTGTCTAACTTTGAGCAACTCACATTTTTAAAATGCTGGCCTCAGTAACTGGCCAGCAGGCATTTGCAGTACCTTTTTAAAGGACAAAATTTCTTCCAGGAGTGAAGAGGCTATGGATGCATCTACATACGTGCTTTACTGAAGCTGAATAATTAGATCTGCAATAAAGTGTCCCCATCTACACACAGACTGGTATTACGGCACAGTAAACTAATTAACTCTGCTTTAAGACAGTTATTGTCAGGGACATTACTATCTTATGATGGAGGCATTAAGTGCGATCAAATGCACGTGTAGATGGTGACCTCTCAGCGCATTTTGTGCCTGGTCAGCCCAGTCAACCAGGGACCAGATCCCAGGCTGCTGCTAGCCCCTCTGCCACCCAATATCAGCATCTGGAGCCCAGGGCTGATGTGCCCCCGCCGACCATGTCCTCTGCCAGCCCAGGGCTCTGCTGTGGCTCAAAGCGTGGCGGTCCAGGATGCTGCACTGAAGAGCAGTGTACTCCAGCTCAAAAAGCTCTGGAGTTTATCATGTCACATTAATTGCTCGTGTAGATATACCCTCTAAGTCATCAATTATATTTTTCCTGGTGGAGTTCATGGTAGTGGTAACCACCCAATGTGTACAAGAAAAATGTAGAATCATAAAATATCTCTAGGCTAAAAAACAAATATTTCCTTTTAAGTCAAAATTAGTATCAAAACCAGAAGAGGAAATAAAAATCCTACAACATAATACACAGAGATGGGGATTATCACCAGCCTCCACTAGATAATATCACCCCAATCTGCATCTAGTTAGCTGTGCACTATAATAAATATCTGATGGAGATTTGGGCTTTGATGCTTTGGTTGGCTTTATTTGGTCAGAATCTTTTGAATGCATATCTGAAAATATCTGAACTAAAATATGATATTTCAATATATTTGTTATCAACAGTCTCTGATAGGTGTCACAACTGGCAAGGTTTAGCTTCAGCTTCAGACATATTTGTTCTCAGAAGAGACCATGGTTTGTTGCATTTCAAACACACAAAAGCAGCTGGTTCATGGCATTTTAAAGAGATAACATGTAAAATATCAGACCTGGAAGAAAGTGCTGGTTGGTAACTACTCAACCCCGGAATCACTTTGATCATCTGTCTTGAACAACAGGGCAATTCCACAGGTTTTAACAGAGTTACCGCAGTCTCACATTTGTGTAAATCAGGCATGAGGTCCAGCATGTGTATGCATGTGTAAAATCATGCGTGAATATACCATACTTTTTCTAAGTTTTAATAATATTGATAATAGTCTGTGCCTTATAAACAGGTGGAATACATTCAACGCAAATCACATATGGTGTTTACTTTGTCTTCTGAAAAACAAAACTGCTTGGTGAC